TCTATATATGTATTAAAATTTTCCAGTTTAATTAATTTTTCTTAAAGTTATACTCGGTAGATAAAAAAATCTTCCACCTCATAAATTAGGAATAATATAAAAATATTGAATGAATATTGAAAGAAGAGGTTTTATGAAAAATTTCTTGACTGAAGAACAAAATTCTTGGCTCAAGAAAATTTGTCGGGTGTCTGAAAGAAGACCGAAGTTGTGATGGCCGAAGTAAACATTTTTCTTTAAATTCTATTCTTGGTACGTCATTTTTTCTTAATTCTATCATAAATACTTGATACAATAAATTTTTATATTTGATCAAGATTTTTAGATATTTTAGGGAAGCAGCGCCACCTACTTCAGCTGAGAAAAATATTTTCTTGGCTCCAGTAATAAATCTTTAATTTTTTTTATTTATCTTTAAATTTGTAAAATAAAGTTATAACTCAGAATTTATCTAGTTAAATGCTCTCAGTATTAGCGTTTATTATTATTTAAATCTTTTCTTTAAGATTCACCGCGTATTATTGCGAGAGTAATTTCTCCAGCCGCCCACGTGGAAGCGTCTCTCAGAAATAGACAAGAATTAAAATACCTGCGTTAAGTCTTTTATTAAAAATTGAGCTGTTAAAACTTCGCCGTCTTTCACGACACAATTTATATATGCTTTATTTAACAAAAATTATAATTAAAAATCTTTAACTATTTTTATAAAAAAAAAAAAATTTTTTTTTTATAAAAAATAACATTGTAGCAACTAAAGATAGATTATCCGATAGCGTAACGACAGTAGTACAGGACATATCTGATTTTATCCGAGTAGCACTCAAGTGAATGTCTGAACGTATCAGTTTGATCGGAACAGTTTTTTGCATTTAACTATCGATCATTAGATATTACTTAGCGATTTTTTCCGATAACGACGCGGATGTTTAGATTTTTATTTCTCCTGATTAAATTCCTGCAACATTTTTTACCGCGTTATCTCTTGTATCGTTAATTACTTACTTACTTACTCCATTTGTAGATTATTAATTATTTTAATCACATAAAAATCATAATTTTTTGCCAATCATTCGTCTCTGCATTAAAAATTTATTTAAATAAATAAAATGAGAGACATTTATTATTTTGTCGTACGGCAATACGATAGACCAATAGAGAGGCGTAATAGCCAGTGAGAGGCGTTTTTACATTAACCAATCAACAGTTTTGTTCACTTATTTTATTACACCTCACGTCTATCAATAAATAATAATAATAAATTTATAGTAGCCAATAATTCCAGTCATTTAGTTGGAATTCTTGGCGCAATTTTAATCGATTGTTGCACAGTAGAAAATTTTGCGGCCGTGCGGCAAAAAATTTTTAACATTTTTTTGTGTAAGTACATATTTTTTTTTTGAAGACTTCAAAGTTAGCAGATAATTTATTTATTTCTTTAATAAATAAATTTGTGCCGAAAAATTATTTTTAAAAAATTGCATTTTTAATTTTTTTAAATTTCTAAGTCAATTTTTTTTTTTTAAATGACCTTGTATCTTGTGAACTATTGACATTTTTAAAAATATAAGCTCATCCCGATGTTATACTCATCAAGCCCTTTCATTTGAGTACCCACATCAATTTTTCATATTTTTTATATATTTATATATATTATATATATAAATATATGAAAAATATATCAAAAATGCATGTGGGTACTCAAATGATAGCTCTTGATAAGTGTAACATCGTGATGAGCTTATTTATTTATTTATTTGATGAGCTTATCTCTTCAAAAATGTCAATATTTAAGAAAATACAGTGCAATTTAATATAATTAACAAATGACCTTGTATCTTGTGAACTACTGACATATTCTGAGTATATAAGCTCACCCCGTCATTACACTCCTCAAAACCTTTCATTTGAGTACCCACATAGATTTTTGATATATTTTTCATATATTTATATATATAATATATATTATATATTATATAAATATATAAAATATGTGAAAAATTGATGTGGGTACTCAAATGAAAGCTCTTGATGAGTGTAACATCGCGATGAGCTTATCTCTTTAAAAATGTCAATATTTAATAAAGTACAGTGCAATTTAATATAATCAAGAAATGACCTTGTATCTTGTAAACTATTGACATTTTTAAAAATATAAGCTCATCCCGATGTTATGCTTATCGAGAGCTTTCATTTAAGTACCCACATCCATTTTTCATATATTTTACATATTTATATATATTATGTATATAAATATATGAAATATATATCAAAAATGCATGTGGGTACTCAAATAAAAGCTCTTGATGAGTATAACATCAGGATGAG